CCACCTAATGTACAGCAGAACGACATTCACTTACCTGCTATTTTTATATTTAATGTTTTCATATAAACTTATAATGTATTGAAAACACTATATACTTACATATAAACTAGTATACTTTGTCTCATATAACATTAAAATTAGGCACTAGACAGACAGCTTCTGCAGCAGCATTGGGTGTGGTGAATATGTTCCACATTTCAGAAGTGTTACTTTATCATTCCAATAACAATGTAGCTTGTATTTTGCTAAGATTAACACAGTAAAGACATTTTTTGGAAACAAAATCTGTTAGCAAAAACCAATTTACTCTATATATTGGTGTAATCAGACCAAAATTAACAAAAATCTATCATTGCTATACCTAAGGATGATACTTTTATTTGAGGCATAGTATATGTATGTATTTGAAAATTATTTAAAAGTAAAAAATAAATTTTATTATCGCATTACTATGATATAATATGACAAAGAACTTAAAAATCAGGATATAGTATAAATGTATAGTATTATTGATTGATAATTATAATTTATAATAATAATATTTAGTTACCATACTTGTATTTTACTTTTATTAACAAATGTATCTTGTTTTAGGTTTGATTTCAACCTTCAACAAAAGAGAAATCTAACAAAGTTCTCATTGCAAAAAGGCAAAAGGAAAACTGTTAAAACAGTTGTTGATCGATTTTATCGCTTGGGATGGTAAATTTTAAATATTTAACAAGTTAAATTTTTTACTCACTTAATTTTAAATTTAAATTAATATAGGTATTTTATATATCTAATCTATTAACTTTTTGTTTTAGAAATCCTCTGATACCTTTGTTTAAATTATATTTTATACAAAAATGTGAACATTTATTTATTACAAATGGAATATTTTTTTAATTATATTAACTATTAAGTATACAGTATAAATTATGTTTAAATAAATATTTTAAAAATATGATATTTATYTCAAAATAATAATTCTTTTGTTTAATATTAGTATATACATTTTTAGGGGTATATGGATTAGAACTAAATGTGGACGACAAAAGAAGTTGTGGAAAAAACCAGCTGCTAGAAAACGAAGATTGAGACAACACGTGTTTTGTAATGCCAAACAGTCTACGCTTTTAGATAAAATGACTACAAAATATTGGAAGAAAAGGAGGTTTTATCCAGATGATCCATATGAACCATATCACGATAGAGAAGAGTATCCATTTACCAGAAAAATTCCAATATCTTAATGTAAAACAGTTGTAATATCTTTAAAGTGTTTGTAAGAAATAGATAATTAACATGCACTTATAGTATTTTATATTAGTTGTATTTAAATTATTTGTTATTATCAATAACTAAAATATTCAAAATATTTCTAACCTAACCTAAAAATAGTTAAGGAACATATTTTATTTTTACAATTCAATTTAAATAACTATCGGAGATGATGAACTCTTTGTCGTCTTTATAAGTCTTTTTGGTATTGTTAAAAACACCAATAAACCAATTAGGGCAAGTGATCCACTGCTAAATGCTAAAACATCTCTGTAATAATGAGAGCATTTTTCCAAATCTGTGCATTTCCTAGAAAAAAATATATATATATATAAATTATCATTTGTTTGTAATAAAAAACAATTTGTTTAACTTATTACATGAATTCTATTCCAATGATAACTAAACCATTAATCAATTTATCAGAAAATGTAACTGAACTGTATATGAATGCTCCACAATCTATATCATTCCCAATAAGGTTCGCAGTGACACTAAGGCTTAAAACTGAAGTTATTGCACTTCCTGAACCTTAAAAATAAAATAATAGTTTATATTTTAAAAATGTTTAAAATTATGTTCAAAAGATTTAATTTAATGATTAATTGAATACAACTTTTTTATAATTATTTTATACTTTGATACTAAGAATACACATAATGTTATAATAATTAAAGCCAATGCCCAATGCATAATTAAAATGAATCTTGAAACAAATTACTCATAATTCGTTGTTTAAATTTTGGTTAGAATTTAAAAAAAAAAAGGTTTAACCAGCTATCATAAAAACACATCATTTACTAACTTATCATATTTAAATAACAATTATAAAGTATTTAAGTACAATTATTTAACCTTTATAGCTTAAAATAAAATAGTATGTGCATTAWGTATTCATTTGAAACTCTTGCACGCTTACTTATGAATATATAACTAATAAGGAAAAATTTTTAAATGTACCTTAAAAATAACATTAAAAAGAGTACTCCTAAACATAGGTGCATTACATATATTATAGTCATTATATAAACATACTTGTTTATTTTTAAACAGACAAATAATATAATTAATATATTTAAATATTTACTTAATTTAATAATTTATTCTTATTATTTAATGGCTTAAAAATTAAAAATGTGTTACCATAGCATACAGCAGCTAAACATAAGTAGTGATAAGTCAGTCCGTTATTAGGATTGAAGAATACCAATAATGATCCAAAAATTGATATCATACTACCAATTGTAAATATCACCTAAAGACATAAACAAAATATTACCTTACATGATACATGGTTAACTAATACAACAATTAAAGTGTGATTTTTGGGGAGGTTCTATCATTAATTTACTTTAAAAATATGTTCTACATCAGACATATGTAAAATATTTGAGGATTATTACCATTAATTTAAACATTTGAATAACTCAGAAACTACTTGTAAGAATTTTAATTTAAATGCATCAACATTTTCAAAAAAAATCAGAGCTCTAACTTTAATATCATTTATACAAAAAAAGTTTTTACTGTTTCAAAATTTTTTTGTATTTTTTAAACTCAAATAATTTTGTTTGTAGTCCCGAAAAAATATAACCATATTTCAGATCCATAWACTTTAACATGCACTATTTAATTATTAAAAATATAATTCATGGTTCAGATATTAAACGTTGAAAAAGATCATAGGGGATCATCCTGTTCGTYCCCAACCTGTTTGACCATCACTAAACCATTTAACTATACTTTTTTACCTTTAAAACGACTCATGTATGAGTACAAGATCTATTAGTAGATACTAACTTACCTACTGCTAACTTGGCTTTATTATTACTTATTAGTTAATTATTATTGTATTTACCATTTATAATTTATCATTAATTAGATATATTTAGGTATAAATGTAATATGGCTAAGAATTATTATAAATTATAACAATATATATTTTCACCGTACAGGATCCGGCTAAAAAACCTCMAGTTTTTCAAAAAGCAGTTAGGTATAAATACACAAAGATACAGAAAAAATCTTTTTATTTTTTAATTACAACTACTTAGCATTTTCTGGTGTTGTTATGGTCAAAAGTAGGTCAGACGGTTTTTTTTTTCTTAAATGCAGAACCCATTGCTCTAAAGTTGACCCAAACATGCGTTGTTTATCCATCTGGAACAGAATCATGTCGGYCAAGTTGGGCRAAATGCTCGCTGAGTATAAATCGCAGAACTACCATTATACGATTATACTCCTCTACGATGAATTGCATCTAATACCTATTAAAAATGGCATGTATACCGCTATCGGTAGATACCTGCTCCATATAGTTGTATCACCATTATACAACTCAAACAGCACAATCTCTGAAACTCTAAATATGGGAGATTTTTGCCGGACCTTGTAGTATACAAATACTATTCGAACTTACTTTATCAGATTTAAAACATGGTTCAACGTATTCCACGCCTATAGATGTGATCAAAGAAGACACATACGCCACCAACGGTATGCTAGCAATGGAACCAGATTCATCAATTGCCGATTCGTTGATGAAAAGCGGTATATAGATCAGAGCTATATTTATCAATAGCTTACAAGTTGTAAACACGACAGCCACTTGGTACAGTTGAAGGTTTTTACAAAATGTCAGTATTTTATCGAAATTTATCTTCCGATTCTGCCTGTACATCAAATTTTTATTGGTGTTTCGTGGGCTTTTCAATAGCCCGTGGAAAATAAACGCCGATACCACTCCAATCGTTGTAGCAATTAACGCTAACATCTATATTATATGACATAATATTTTTAAGTAAATTGTGTACGTTAAGTCGTTAACTAATACTTCCGTATAAGTTAGGTTAGGTAAGCTACGTTATATGTATATATGTAGGTGATTGTACCAATATATTATATTATGATATATAATAATTATAATTCAATAATTCATAAATCACGAGTAGGTAGTAGGTATAAATTATAAATATTATAATATAGACATCTAGGTGTAGTCCTAGATTAAAATAAATATACTAAAAATCTATGGTATAGTTAGTAGACCTCTGATATATTTTAAAACTAACTTGAAATTTTTCTGAGTCGTTAGGACCAATTAGACTACTCATATTTCCGTTTTTTCGTACACCTCTGAATACTAACCAAGCAATGATGAACATTAAAATATTTGTGGACACTGTGAATACATATCTATATAAACACGAAATATTTGCAATTAGACGATACGATGCAGGTAATATAACTATTACAGTACATACTATTATTATACACAGATGACTATGTAAATAAAATATAAAWTATAAACAAACAATGAAATATGAAAATATTATTTTTCCATTTATTAGTCAATCTATTTAATGGCGAATGGCCGCTGTATATATAATATTATGTATTATAAATTATAAGTAATTACTAATCATATAATAAATAATCTCAAACACACCTTATTGAAGTTAATTTTCCTCTCTCTAAAGACAAATCAGTCAGCTCTGGTATCAACGACAAGTGAGAAATTTGAACTAGAGCCCATGCCATTTGGAATGTTAATATCGCGCAAATATAAATCAAGGTGATTACAGCTATGGATAAATTCCAAGCATAATATATTAACGGAAAACTTATGGCTTCTATTACTGTGCCTGGAAATTTTGTGAATGTTCAATTAGTTTTTACTTGAGTAATAATAATAAATAATACTATTGCATTATAAAAACTACCAACAGAAATAATTTATATAATATTAAAGTTGTATTTACCTAAAAGTAYCCAATTTTTCTTTTTCCCRAATTTGTCCACTATGATTCCAACAAATGGTGTTGCTATTGCATCTACAGTTTGACCTATACATAAATTATTATCAGTAAGTAATAAGTATATTATATTATATTATATTCATAACGTAGGTACTTAAGTACTTTATGGTTGTAGGGACAACTGGATAATTGGGTGTGTCCGTGTGTGACGGGAATACGGGATGGTCTAGATGACAGTCGGCAGATAAACCCAAGAAGAAGAAAAAGTATTATCTAGACCACTAGACCAGGATACCAGGTATGTCAAACTCAAAATATCAAGTGGGCAAAATAATATATTGAAAAGCTTAATACTATGCGGGTCGCACATAAAAATTAGAAAAAAATTCTTATTCGGTTAGTTTATCAGTAGATTAGACAGTATAATAATGAATACCAAATATTCGGCAAATAAACCATTCTCAAAGAATCTAAGATATTTGTGACACGGAATTAATATTTTAGATTCTGA